CATTGTTGTTTGGTGGGTCCAGGCTGGGGATTCGAACCCACCACCTTAGGTGTACGTGGCTGGCGCCTTAGCCGGTTGAGCTATAGGCGCCGAGCCATGAACTAAGCTTCTTACAGCAGAAAGTTAATATACAAAGTCTATAATGGGTAAATCAATAAATAAGAGCATGAGAATTATTATTTAGAGATATGTAAGTACAGTCACCCCCCCCCCCAAGTATCCATGAAGGACTGGTTCCAAAACCTCCCTACAGATACTAAAAATCCATGGATGCTCAAGTCCCTTACATAAAATGGTATAGTATTTGCACATAACCTCTGAACATCCTCCCATATACTTTAAACCACCTTTAGATTACTTCCAATATCCAATACAATGTAAATACTATGCTATTACATAGGGCATTAATGACAAGAAAAAAAAAGTCTGTACATGTTAAGCACAGATGAAACCATCTTTCTCAATTCTCCAAATGTTTCTGATCCACAGCTAGTTGAGTCCAGGACATGCAACCCATGGACATGGAGAGTTGAATGCAATCAAAAGAATAACTAAAACCAGAAATAGAGTTTAAAATGATTCCCTCTGGGAAGAGAGTCTAGGTAGGGAAGGAAGGAACTGTGGATAGATGCTTTTCATTAAGTTATATAGGGCGGTGCCTGTGGCTCAAAGGAATAGGGTGCTGGCCCCAAAAGCTGGAGGTGGCGAGTTCAAACCCAGTCCCGGCAAAAAATAGCAAAATAAATAAATAAAATAAAAGTTATTTAACATTTTAAGTGCCTTTATTATTCTGACAAAAGTAAAAATGTATTTTAAAGAAAAAAGTGAACAAGACATTCAGAATGCCCTAACAAGTGATCACAACAACCATCAAGACACTTGCCTCCACCTTGATGGCACATCGTCCAATGGCCCTCACAGCTTTGCGAACAAAGTCAACATCCACCTCTGTGGCATATTCCTTCAGCTCTGCCAGAACCTGTTGAAAATCCAGGAAGTGGATAATTATTAAGGATTCTCAAACAGCAACATCGTGGCTTGTTTCTTCTGAAGGCCAGACCGTAACTAAAACCTAAATCACACAAACTTAAGTGTGAACTCTGACCTGAGCAATGTTGGCTTGAGATGCCAAACGAATCATGATATCCAGCTTCTCTAGTTTAACGTAGATGGGATCATTGTACTTCACAAAGAAGACTTTAATTTCCTGCTTCAAGATTTCAGGCCTGTGGTACACAGAAACACAAAAAAGGAAGGTGAAGGCACGTATTCATATACCCTTTTGAGCCTGTATTAAGATCTAATCTGTGCCTCTCTGCCTTGCTCCCACTACCCCCAGTAGAAAAAAAATGCAAAAACTTCCTCTATACTTATTTATTCTTATCAGTTCTATTTGGCAGACTATTTTCATCATTTTTAAGCCTCAGGGTACACACTGCCATGAAGAACTGCCAAAAGAACAATCTGGGTTTATACCATACCCTAACCCATAATGAACAAGCACTAGACAGTATAACAGAAAGAAAACTTACAGAGACAAAGTGGATTGTAGGGAACAGCAGGTATTTATTATAGGAACACTTCAATACCAACTGTCAGCTTCTTGGTCCTGGGCAAACTGTTCTGCCATATAACATTTTCATTTTTGTGCATTAAAAAGAGGTTAGCACTGGCCTATTTAACACCAATATTATTAAGCTTAATTCAAAATTACAAACACTTTAATCATCAATTCACTAGTTCCCAACCTTTTCTGGACAATTAGGTTGATGTTCCTCAGGGCAACATACTGCACTTCTGGCTCCCCAGAAAGCAAAGTGACAAGTGGAGGGGCTAACTTCTTTAGCAGCATATTGTAGTAGTCAGAGTCCTTGGGTAACAACTCCAGAAATTTCATTAGGACTTTTACTGCTGAAAGCACCACTGCTGAGTTGGCATGGGATAGCCGGGGAGTTACCCGCTCACAGATGCTAAGGGCAGAAAAGGAAAATTAGTATCTTAAATTACAATTTGTTTGCTCAATCCACCCTATAAGGTAATGTATCAGAGTCCCATGGCCCAAGTATCAAGAAACTAAAGAATCAGTTAGAAAAGTCAAAGCTCCATGCTTAGGTAAAACTGAGATCCACCACTGCAGAAGCCTCATTCCCAGCAAACTACAGGCAGAGCAAGGGACATCAGAAGACTTCAGGAAACCAGCAATAAGGGATGCTCATACTGGAAGAAAACTAGTAATACCCAAACACTTGAGCTCACACAATTTACCTTCTTGTTTTAGTCCTCTTTTTCTCCCCACATTATGTTAGGTCTCCCTGCCTCACAGCCCATTTCTACTCAACCTATAGGAAGTCAAATTAAGCATTCTGAGAATTATTTCATAGTGAGAAGTTTCGACTCAGCTGTGACTAAAGATTTCACTGGAAGATATACAAGGAGTTGTGGATTGGTAGGGTTAATAATTCAATTCCTGCCTTCAGGATAAATAAGGAACTCTGAAACGGTGGTTGGTTTTTCTTCTTAAAGTAGCAGAGCACCACCACAATATTCTTCCAACTTCTTCCTGTTCTCCTAGCTCCTGCCACCTATCTCCATACTTATATGCCTCATGAAACCTTAGATAATTGTTTGATGAGCAGAAATTAACCTAATTTTGAGTATTCTTAAGGAACATAAATAGCTGGCTATATTAAGGACGCAAGATAGGTAGGCTGTTCCTTTTTCTTCCTCCTAGAAGACTCCTGACCTCCTTCAGGTCCTTCTTTATATAAATGTTACCTTCTCGGTGAGGCCTTCACTGGCCACTGTTTTTACTTGTTATTTATTTCTTATTTTTATTATTTTTAGAGACAGGGTCTCACTCTGTCACCTAGACTGGAGGGCAGTAGCACAATCATAGTTCACCTTACACTCCCAGACTCAAGTAACCTTCCTGTCTTAGCTTCTCAAGTAGCTGGGACTACAGGCACATGCCACCACACTCGGTTTATTTTTTTTTTTTTCCTGTGGAGATGGGGGTTATGTTATTTAGGATCCTGGCCACCCTTTAAAAAAAATACAGGCTCAGCACCTGAAGCTCAGAAGTTAGGGTGCCAGCCACATACACTAGAGGTGGCAGGTTTGAACCCAGCCTGGGCCTGCCAAACAACAATGACAACTACAACCAAAAAATAGCCAAGTTTTATGGTGGGTGCCTGTAGTCCCAGCTACTTGGGAGGCTGAGGCAAGAGAATCGCTTAAGCACAAGAGTTGGAGGTTGCTGTGAGCTGTGACACCGCAGCACTCTACTGAGGGTGACATAGTAAGAATCTGTTTAAAAAAAAAAAATACGATTGCTCATCCCCACATGCCCAGTATTTCTTAGATCTCTTCTGTACTTTATTAGTTTTGTTAGCACTTATCACCATCTAACAAATTATATTATATATACACCTACCCACATCCCTCAGAATAAGTGCTCCACCAGGGCCATGGTTTTTGTCTGTCCACTGCTGTATCTCCAAGGCCTAGGACACTGCCTGGCACACAGCATGCACTTAATAAATATTTGCTGAGTGAATGAATGAATTAATGTGATGTCAATGACCAATGGAAAATAAAATTCTCAGTAAAGTTCTTTCCAGAATATATTTATGCCTTTCAATGACGGAAAGAAATTACCAGAGTTCTGTCTAGAGGGAACAAATTCCCAGACGAGTGAAGAACACTTACATTCTAGTAGCTTGGAAATCAGCTTCAGCCAGGCAAGGAAGGTTCTTATCTACCATAATTAAAATATTCCAAATTTAATGAAGAGCCAACATTTCTTCAGAAGTACTTTGGCTAGTACAATGCCTATATACACAAAATGCTCAATAAAAATTAGGGATAATTTCAACTTTGTAAACTAAAATGTGTGTATATGCAGAAGAAATTTAGTAGTCACTTTCTGACAGTCAAAGAAAATTCGCAACTCCAAGGTGATTAAGGGCTGAGGAAAACAATCTATGCATGCCTTCCAAAATAGTCTCCAAATTCAGACTGATGAGATTTCTATATCTAATGGGAAGCAGCATGTATTTTTCTGACTTAACCATACTTTTTCCAGTACTCCATTATAGGTATAGTTCAGCTCAATAACTAATATAAAACCACTAATTAAGTATTTAATAGAAGGAAAATTTCATCACTACAAAAAGACATTTAATACCTTTTATTTGCCAAACAGCCAAGAACCGCCCTATGGGAGATGTGAGAAAATGATGAGGGAGATTTTAGCAGAGATAACCATATACTGTTCAAATAAGAAAAGAAAAACATGTAGTTCTTAGAGCTATTTTTTGCATGGTTTACTCCACCACCTAAATGTTCCTAAATCCAGTGAGGAAAATACCTTGGAGATAGGAGTATCAACCCCACAAGCTACTGACCTACCTCAGCATAAGAAAGTTATTCTAACGGCAGATTCTAGAACTCACTGAATCAGGCAAAGCTATCAGATACTACCCAGGAAAACAGACTGACCTCTGAGCCTCCCGGTCATCTTTAGGGTTGTAATTAGACAAGCAGTCCAGGATGAAAATCTGGCCCCATTCAGTGCACTCATTCAAGGCTGTCAGCAGCTTATTAATGTTCTGCGGGTTCAGATCGAGTAAGTTGCTGTTTGGGTGAGACTCACTGATTTCAGATAATGCTGCTACAGCATTAGCCACCACCTGGGAAAAAAAGAAGATATGACCTTGATTCACCAAGAACAATACAACTACAAATAAACAATCAACCTTCGCTAATCACTTCACAAGTCTCAACTCATAACCATTCCTGAAAATTTACCTACTCAGATAGAAAAAGACAAATTACTTTTTAATTTCACATGTACTTTATGGCCACCCTTTACGGCCACTGGTGACAGCATATATAGCTTCAGCTTCCTAGTGGTCAGACAACCCAGAATTAAAACAATTCATATTAACAGAGTCACACATGATTTACTACTAAAACACATTAACCATTCTAATAGTACTTAAAACTATCAATAAAATCAAGCATATGAACAATTGTGACATCTAAATATGAAATATGTACATTAGGCAACAGAGAAATATCTAGGCCACATAATTTTATAGAAGTGTGCAGTTGTGTATATATGAGCTGGGAGGTGACATGGTCCAGCATATCACAAGTCTCAGAGTAAGAATACCTGGCCTTGAAACTCTAGTTCACTAGCATACAAGGCTGAGAGAACATAATCTCTGTGAAATTGAGTTTCACCATCTGAAAACTAGGGATAATTTAATCTACTTCACAGTTTTGTTTCAGTTTGAGGAAAAAATCAGATGACATGTGTTTAAGTGCTTTCTACAAAGCATTGTACAAATTTAAGGGTTGCAATAATCCATCAAGTATAAATTATACAGTTTTTCACATTTATTTCTCTGAAATTAGGATATATTTAATGGCCTGTCAGTTGAACAGGAAGCATTTTCTCTCCTAGTAATACAGAAAATAATCCCTCTTATAATCAATGGCATTAAAGATTCAAGGAAATAGGGTCTTTCAAAAAGTATGGCAAATGAAAAATTACTACCTTACACAAAAAAATTCAGTTGTATCCCGACTCACAGACCTGGGACTCCATTTGGTTGTCTGAAGCAAAGTCAACATTCTTTATTAAAATTAAAGATTTCCACTATAACTAACAAATCTATAACCAATGAACATATAAAATCACTTAAAAATTGCAAAAATGTCTGGGCCTGATGGCTCATGCTGTAATTCTAGCCCTCTTGGAGGCCAAGACAGGAGGAATGCTTGAGGCTGGGAGTTCAAGACCAGCCTGATCAGAAGAGTCAGACCCTATATCTACAAAAAATAAAAAAACCAAGCAGGTGTAAACTCCAGCCAGTTGGGACACTGGGCTTGAGCCCAGGAGTTTGAGGCTGCAGTGAGCTATGTTTTGCTACAGTGCTACCAGTTATTACTAAAAATCAGCAAGATGAGGCTGAATATAAATACCCTGTAAGTATAAATGAGACATGATAGGAGATAGCAGCTTCAGCAATTATATGTACTGAAAAGAATCTCAAAAATGTCAACCCATAGTTAGTTTTTACTAAAGTCCCTTGCTAAAAGCTTTAGAAATAAGTTGCTTGATATTCTTTTGTTAGCAAGAGAAGAAACATAATGGCTATAATTTAGCAATTAATTTTAGCATCCACATTATCTCAGTAGTCTTCTGATTATCCCAGAACATGACCTTACCTACAAGATAAATGTGTAGAGAATACAATTTTTTTAACAAACACACTTAAGACAATATCCATTATTATGTAAAGGATAATAATGCCGCAAATAGAATCATCTTAAAGCTATAATTTTGTGATCAGAACAAAGATTCCAGAACAAAAAATGAAAGACCCACTTGGTATATATGGTTACAAATATAATATTTTATTTTAAGATAACTCAGAAGATTTATCTAGCCCACCTAATAGACGGCAACATGTATGAAGTTCTTTTTCTATTTAATTTTGGTTTATTAACTCCCTCATCAAGCGTGAGATTTAGTGAAAACTAAGACATAAAGGGCAAAATAACAACTCCCTCAGTATATTTCATGTGTAGGGAAAGTATTTTATTTCTCATGCATAATATACTTAATTGACCTTATGATTGTCTAAGGGATCAAAATGTCACACTAGATGGTCGAATGGCTGTTTTGATGTATAGTTGCCAACACATCCTGAGTCCTGGTTACCAGTTGTCTAAAATAAACCTCTTGGGGGAGAAGGGAAAAGAGAGAAGAGGAACAGAAGGGAGGGGTATCAGGTGCTCCTAGCTAATGGGCATAATGTAAGGGTATATGGCACACCTCCTGGGGGCAGGATGTAACTGCAACAGGGACTTAACCTAACAAACACAAACACCGTAACGTAATTATTTGTACCCTCATATTAATCTGACATTTAAAAATAAATGAAATAAAATAAACCTCTTACCACAATTTACTTCTGACCATCAAATCCTTTTCCTGTTTTTTTGTAAAGGTAAAATATAAGGTCTGGTAACAAAATATAGAGGAAAAAATGTGGATGAGGGAACTAAAAAGAGCAATGGGGAGGAAGAGAACAGAATGATGCTAAACAGAACGAGCAATTACAATTCCTGCTATCATACGCAATTGGAAATGAAATTAAGTGTATAATGCAGCTAATGAAGTATACGTTCTAGTGTTTAAGTAGGGAACTTCCACTTAGCATCACATTAAAACAAACAAAAAAAAAGAATTAGAGAAAAGTCTAATTGAAAGATCCAAGAAAGATCAGATTAGGGGATTATATTTAGCAAACCCTGCACGGAAAAAACAGAACATTATCAAACAGTCACTATCTTAGTGACTGACCAAATGAGATGTTATCCAACCCCCGATACCAAAACTATACTGCTCCTCTAAAACTCCTTGAATTTCTTTCCACTATTTCCCTCCACTTTCATCTCCTTATCTTCACATTCAAATTATTATGTTTTCAGAAACATAATGGGGCAGGCCCATGAAGGAATGCTGAGTTTTCTTGGTCAGTAAGCCATGTTTCTCTCACTCTTTAATGAAAATAAGCCAGTCATACTGAATCTAATGTAGACAAAGAAAAAAACTGACTTCAAGGCAGCAAATGAATGGCTCGGTAGACAAGATGACTCACTTTTCAATGTTTATATTGTTTCTTTGGAATTTTGTACTATGTACTTATATTGTCTCTTTTTAAAAAATAAACTTTAAAAATAATAGATTGAAACTTAAGGTTCACTTCCTCTTCCCAGAGAACCTTCCCCAAATAATACATCCCAAAAGAACAAATCCAACCCTTGCAGGAATGGCCTTGATTTACCTGTATATTAAAACAAAAGTGTGCTTCCTCTGTTTCAAGTACTACTTTGATTTTGAACTGTTAAGACAATTAAGTATAATGTTTTCTCTTCTGGAAAATTGACATTTCATTTAGGGAATACTGCCACAAAAAGAACAATGGCCTTTGAACTATAACCTTGGAAAAATCAGAGTTTCCAATGGGAAAATAAAAGGTTTCTAAAGAAAATTTTGCTTTAAAAATGAATTTATAAATAGGGTTTCTTTTTTTTTTTTTTGAGACAGAGCCTCAAGCTGTCCCCCTGGGTAGAGTGCCATGGCATTACAGCTCACAGCAACCTCCAACTCCTGGGCTCAAGCGAGTCTCCTGCCTCAGCCTCCCAAGTAGCTGGGACTACAGGCGCCCGCCACAACGCCTGGCCATTTTTTGGTTGCAGCCATCATTGTTGTTTGGCGGGCCCGGGCTGGGGATTCGAACCCGCCACCTTAGGTGTACATGGCTGGCACCTTAGCCGATTGAGCCACAGGCGCCAAGCCATAAATAGGGTTTCTTAAGTGAACTTCCTCAGTAAGAGTCAATTTATAAAAAGTTGGCATCTAGATTACAAAGGAACACATCCACAGCATTAAAAAAAAAGAAATGAAAAAATCCTTTATTCTTCTTGCCTCCCAATTATGGTACATTATTTTTTGGGGGAAGAGTAGAACTGAATAGTCCCCACCCCTCACCCTTTGTAGACCTAATTCAATATGTATATACTTTATAGACATAAATATTAAACATACATAAAAAGCATGTGGGAAATATATGTCAAATCACACTCAATCCTAGACAAATCTTCCTCTGCCTGAACTACAGACTTCTCAATTTGACAGTTTCTATGGACATTTAGTCTGAAATTTTTTTTTAGGTAAGTTGTTTATATTTTGACTAACTTTACATTATAACTAACAGAATAGGTTGCACAAAGAGATAAAAGATAGCTAAAATTTATTACAACACTTCTATGTGCCTGACATTAATTCTCATAACAACTCTGAGATAGTGGCTATTAAAATCCACTTTTTACGGATAAGGAAACAGGCTCAGAGAAGTTCAGTGACTTGCTTAGGGTCAACATAACCAGAAAGAGATAGCACTTCAATCTGAACTCAAAGTCTATATCTGATTCCAGCATTTGAGTATTAATCACTCTGTCTCCAGCATTTATACAAATCTCAAGACTTGTGAAATTCATCTCAGAGAAGAGAGAAAAGAATCAGAGTAGGAGAGGATAATATAACCAAAACATTATTTCTAGGTAAAGGTGACATGCAGATTTATACAAGAAGAAAAAAGTATTCTTCTACTGGCCTCAGCCCCTATAGCTCACAGCTAGGTCGTCAGCCACATACACCAGAGCTGGCGAGTTCAAACCCAGCCCGGGCCTGCCAAACAATGACAACTACAACCAAAAAATAAAAATAGCTTGGTGTTGTGGTGGGTGCCTGTAATCCCAGCTACTTGGGAGGCTGAGGCAAGAGGATTGCTTAAGCCTAAGAGTTTGAGGTTGCTGTGAGCTGTGATGCCACAGCACTCTACTGAGGGTGACAAAGTGAGACTCTGTCAAAAAAAAAAAAAAAGCATTCTTCTACTTCATATATTTCAGAGATAATCATATCTGGGCAGCACTTAAAACAGTTATAAAATCTGATTTATAAACTATACCTATCCTATGTGCAGTAATTCTGAGGATATAAATTTGACCTCATTTTTAATAAAAGGAGTGAGCTGGAGCAGTGGGTGTGGTTAGAATAAAAATGATCCTGTAAAAAACGACTCTAGAAGGAAATCTAGATATACAGTGGAAT